TTAATATATATATTAATAAGTTAAATTTCGATCATACTGAATCAAATATTATAAATCGACTAAAATGATAAATTTGTGTCTTTTAAATAAAATATAAAAATTTTAATCATTAAATTACTATATTATTAATATAATATTTACTAATTTAATATATATGTATGTGTATATAAATATATATTTTTATGAAATGTTATTGTAATTATAGTCTATACCAACTTCATTTATTAAAATATTATTACAAATGTAGTCTATTATGATTCTTTGCGTGTGGGTGTATATAATATCCCAATATATATGTAATTTATGGTAACTTGTGCTTATACAAAATAGTATCATACATATAATTTAGTATATACATGAATTATTATAATTGTAATTTACCTTGATATAATTTAGACAAATTTTAACAAATATATTTAAGATTTTGGGCAAGAAAAATTAAAAAAAAAAAGAACTTTTATTTTTGCCATAATATGTTACTTTTTGATGATATTATGTTAGAATAATTTATTATATAAATTTTTATACATATAATATTTGGTAATTATGTTTTAAAATATTATTTATAAGAATTAAATTCATGTAGTTATAATACATTTAGAATTTTATTGTAATGTATATATATATATATGTTAGCATTTTTAGTAGAGTTAAGTGGTTTAATTGATCATAGAACTTACTAATTTGGTAATTATTTACATATAAACCAAATATGTAACAATTAAATTCACTTAAAATTTTCTAATTTTGGCAAATTAAATAATTTAGTATATATTATTGTATAAATTATCTTAATATATATTATATCCAAAATTAATTCATTTAAAAGAATTAAAATATATATACATTATATGTAACTTTTAATAATTAAATTTTTTATTTTTTCATTTTCTACACAGACCATTACAAATAAACTAGTCTGTATATATAATACTTATATATATATATATATATATGTATATATGCATATTACATTTAAGTGGAGTTAAACTTACTGAAATTACAAGAAGACCCCTGTGAATTCAATTTTCTTGAACACACAGATTACAGCTTACAGATTCTCACACCAGCGTACAGAGCCAATCAACAAATATCTTTTCAGGCTTCTCTGCTTCCTCATTCTTTTTTTCAGTGTTTTTTTTTTTTTTTTTCCTTTCTCTTTTCCATTTTTATTTGTTTTGGCCAGAAGGTAATTTTTTCAGAGGTCCACACCTCTTGAACTCCTTTCCTCAATCCTTAATCCCCTCGAATCTCTGTGTTTCTTGATCTGGGTATCTAACTATTTCGTCTCTGGATAATTTTTTTAAATCATCGAATTGAAAAATCTCCCAAGTTTTTTTTTTTTTTTACTGTAAAAATCAACTTACAGAGACAAATACCCATCTGGGTTTCACTCCTTTTGAGTATCTCTTGCTTTGCTTTAGCAGATTCAAAGCAAAAGGGTTTCTCGTTAGAGATGCAAATGACAAACTTTGTTTCATATAAGGTTAGTTTTCTATTTTTGTCTCTCTTGTGCACCTGTTTTTTTTTTTTTTATTAGAATATCTGCCATGGTTGTTATTATTGTTCTGGGTTTTGAAAGTTGAAGCTAATTTGGTTCTTATTGATGGGTTAGTCCGGCATATTTTTCAATTCTTGTGGATTTTGGATCTTGACTCCATGGATGTTGTTTGCTGCTTTGTGAGCTTATATCTGTCCGTGTTATCTTCTATTATTTTTTTTTCATACTGATTCTACTTGTTTTTTTCATTTGGGTTTGTTTGGGTTTTATCTGTGGTTTTACCCAATTAATGAGACAAAGGAAAATTCCAATCTTTAGATTGTTTAATCTGAGATTTTTATAGGGTTTATTAACTCCTTGTTTGAGCAGAATTTTCAAGATAATCTCCCATTTGTCGTGTGGGGAAATGAAAAGACTCATCCTTTCTCAGTCCTAGATTTCTGCTTGAGGGGGAACGTGATGGTAAACACAACCTCTTATCAAGGGGTCAGGAAGGATTGAGTTCAGTCATTTATGTATAGAAAGAGAAAAACAATAGAGAAGATCAATCCAAATACTTTATTTCCTTTTGGGTTTTTCCTTTTCTGGGTAACCAAATTTTTGGTAAATATGGTATTTTCCTTTATGGATGGATCATTATGAAATAGTTTAATTGAAACTGCTTAAGCTCCACTCTTTCTTTACTATGCAAGCAATAGACATTCTCTGTAATGGATTCATTTGCATGATGAGAATTGCAACCGTGATGGGTCTTATCTTGAGATATAAATGATTGATCGTGGGTGTGAGTGGTAACTTGTTGCAAGTTCTAATAAGGAACTAATCTTGGCTAGTTGTTTAAACTTTGCTCAATGAATTTAGTTGGCGGCCTTGTGTTCGCTTTTACTCATATCGTTATTGTTGTTGAATTTACTTATCTATCAATAAGATTCTTGTTTGTTTGATACTTCTTTTAATATCTTAGTAAATTTCTCGTCTGTTGCAGATTGTGGAGTGTTTCTATTCTTGTTAGGTGCCCTACACAAGTTCACTCCATTGGTTATAACTGAAGTTTGAGTATGTATTCTATGTTGTTTAGTCTGTGAATTTTGGTAGATATTTCCGGATCTGCTAGTTTTATTTAGCAAATTCAGTTCTGTGTATTTGTTGTTTCAGGAGCATTTCATTTTTATGA